CTGATCTTCTATTACCTATGATTAAGGATTCCCGAGGGAATCCGAAACGTCACCAAAATAAACCTCTTGTTCCAGTGATCGTTTCTTCTTCTTCCAAAGCGGCTAATGCATAACAGTTGTATGCAATGTCCGAGATCATTTCCAGCATTCGGTTGCAATTGTCTTACTTTAATAATTATTCGCTATACATTTTTATCTGCTGGTTTAGCGAATAAAGTTTAAAATATGGTTACAACTAAGCGCACCCTTTCCTTCATTGTCCTACTCCTGAAAAACAATTACAATGATACTGACGTTATATTTTTCTCCATATGCCTCTATCCGTTCTTTTTTATAAGGAAAAAATCCTCATAGGAAACTCCCTTTTGTTTGAGATATTTCTATTTTAATTATGCAACTAGCGTGTGCTCACACTGTTTTTACTCATTAATTTGTATGTTATTCATTATAAAACCGAAAACTATGTTGAGAAACGACTATAGCACGGGATTTTCACAGTATCCAAGTTGATGTTTGTTACTATTGAGCCGAAAGCTTGATACACGATCATGCATTCTGACTATACGAAATGGAGTCGTCAAACTTCCGTTTAAAAGTTGTTTGCAATTTTAATAAGAATGTACTTCCATGATTTGCATTAACCACAGTAACTCTAACTTAAAATTTGTAATTGTGTGTTGTCAACCATTACCAACTTACAACGTTAGTTCACAGGTTTGAAAGAACATTCATGTTCAAACAATTTTTTCTTTGCGTGAATTTTGCAGGATTAGAGTTTTACTATAACACACCAAATTATTAATTGGCAAAGCAAACAACAGTCAGATGGACCCACATGAGTCGAAATGTAGCAATGGGAACAATAAATGCAGGCATATCACATGCTGTGGTGAATGGGATATTTAGTTGCTTGTTCCATAATCTTTCCGCATTAGAAATAAAAGTATTCACGGGTTGCGTTTTAACACGCGCAGATTCTAACCGAGCGCCGGAAATGAATTTTTATGGCAATTTTAGTATAAAAGTAATTGCGCCTCCCGAAGTAAACACTTTCATTTTTAATTTGCCTTAGACCCGGAAGATTTAAATATTTGCTTGAGGTAATAAAGTAATAAAGCCATCCCAAAGTAAACTAGGTGACCTAGCTCATTCAAAGTAGGATCAACTGAGCGTTGATAATTTAGCGTATATTTGGTTCTGCTATTTTTCTTCTCCCGTGCAAATGTGCTCCTGGGAACGCCTTTCACTTAGGCATGCACGTAAAGTTCATTTTATTTGTCGGCATTGTATCTTATGCGTTTTGATATCGCAAAACCAAACCTTTGAATGCATTCATCTGTACAAGAACCCCAATATAAGCAAGATAAATTAGAATTTGTTCCAAAACAAAAAAAATCGGCTCTTACGTATGTGATAATGTATGAAAACGATTTTAAATTAATTATTAAGACATTTACCTAAGTATTGTTATGTAACTGAGTAAAATATGTAAGTTGGTAGACCAAATCTACTGGTTGTCACGGTCGGGGAAACAAAATGTTGGTATTTATTATAAACGGCATTTTCCATATTTCCAGGAATAGAAGCGAATATGCGTACCCCAGGTTCTTGGGACCATAGATCGCGTCTTCTTCTTCTTTTTACATATATCCTTTTAGTTATAAATTGGCCCAAGCCTTTTCACTATTAGTTCAAAATTTGTGATCATATATCAGCATTTAGCAAACATCGGCGTAATTTGAGGCCATACTCTTTGAGGTAATGTTAAATGTCCTAGCGCGGAGCTATTTATTTTACCTAATTGTTGCCTCAAGTAAAAATACAGACTTCTTGTATAAACATCTGTTCTGCTGTGTATTTTATGTTTAAAATCTCCACTGTGCAACACTAGTTTAAGTAGTGCACCTCAACGAATCCCTAGTCAGAGAATTGTGTCAAACGGAAACGGTGGTTATAGTGGTTTTATGGATGGGAAATCCCAAAACTTTGTCATTTTTCTTCAAAAATATATTTTGATATTCAATGGCGGCCTTTTCAAACAATGTTTAACGAATGAGGTCATTTAATTCTTCCTATAATATATCAAGTAGCATAGAATAATTAAGTTCTGTCGGCAGAAGGATTAGTCATCACGATGGTTTACAGCCAGATACTTATTTGGATACCTCAATGAATTCAATGGACGGCAAAGGTACTTTAAGTATTGCACGTAATATACCCTTTTTTCAGCAATTAATCCTACGGGAATGGTGGTTTTTGGGATTTTAGGGGTGAATGAATAGGGTAGGTAGTAGAGGAAATTTGTAGAGGTAGGTGCTAAGTGGAAAAAAGTAGTTGAGTTTTTTCCCACGGCCGCTGAGAGTAAGTTGTTCTTTATTTAGATTAAGGGAACATGGAGGGCTTCGCACCGCGGATTATACCGACCTAACTCCATTTCTATTTTTCAACAACTTCAATAAACCTGCTTTTTGATAATCTGGTTTTTCCGCAATATGTTAAATGTTAACACAGATTAGGAAAGTCTGCAGTTATAAATGAACAAAATTATATATACAATAAAATGAAAACGCATATAGCAGTTATTTAAGCATATCCCACTGCCTAGCCTAATCCTCCAACCATAAACCCCTATAACCCCAGTTTCTATAGGCCGTATTTGTGCGGACCAGTGGTATATGCGGTGCACTGCTTAAACTCGTTTACTTAAAGCATACTGACCCACTTGCAGATTGGAAATTAATAATGCGAAGAAAATATATTTGCAGGTCCTCAAAAATATTTTCCTATTATTAAACTATTCCTTTTCGGTTTTGTTAAGTCATTTCGGCGTACCGATAGTCTTAAATCGCCGTTTTCACTCCCACCTTTTAGCAATTGGCATGAAGAAAGGCCTTGAAATTCCATTGGCTAGTAGATTCACAATGCCTGTATGCGCACGCTATGGAATTGGCTAATTTCTTGTCCAATTACTTTTGGGAAGAATATGTAGACCACTGAAGTAATCATTTTTAAAATACGAATAGTCCGATCACTGTGTTTGATCGCTTTTAACTTTGAAAAGGGTGCAGCACATTAGATATACTGGGATATTTATGGACCACCTTCGGTTTCTCTAGAACAAAATAAATATTAACCATGGCGAAAAGCCCTATTGGAATGATACAAACACTGACCAATCCAGAAGCTTCAGCGCTTGGAAGTGAGGGCAGTCTTTTACCCGAAATTCGAAAATATTCTGTTGTAAATCCCAGAACGTCGATGGATGCGCGTAAGTACAGGTTATCATTCGAAATTTTAATTGCAATTTAATGAATATAATGCCAGCAATCCTCCTTCGAATTACTTCTAATGCTTATTATGAGACATTTGGGCATAACTTGTGACTACCAAGTGTATGCTTCAGAAAACGAATTCTTTATATTCACGGACAAAGCTGTCCGAAGCAAAACCTGTTTTACTGTAGAGACTGTAGAGACAATGTTTGCTGAGCCTAAGGAACTAATGTTTTTTTTCCTTTTTGGGGCAACAATAAATCAAGACTAGTAAAGTGTAGACTACGACATCTATAGGGACCGAAAAAGGAAGTTATGTTAGCATCCGCGAGTGCCAAGCTTATAAATTGATACTGCAGTATAACATTTCATGCGAAGGCTAGAAGACATATACTTAAAGGCCATCTATTTTATTCTTAATGCTGATTTCAGGAAACTATGATACTTATTGATCTTTGTAACACAGATCAAATCACAACTTCAAGAGGCATGGGATGTTGCAGCTATATCCTACTTGGACTCTCGTACTGTGCAATTCTTCTTACATTCCCCATTTCCATTTTATTTTGCATAAAGGTGAGAAACTACCTCCAGCTTCGTGATTATCATTATTTTATATTTAAGCGTAAAGACATGTTATGTTTCTTTCCTTTTCTTTAAAAAGGACGTTTCAAAGAATACGATTGATATCATTTTCACCAATAGTGACCAATTATAAAACACAACACGCTTGTAAAGGTTTCTTTTATGTTAGGAATGGTAGTTTTCCAGGAATTACCGTCATGAGGACATTCAAACATCTAAAATATAAGGTTTCTGGGAGAAAACGTAAATTCATTTAAAAAATATTTTTATGGCAACTTTTGCACAAATTATGCGCTTAGCAAGAATGTCATAAAACTGCGATCCATAGCATAGACCGTATGCTGATATTCTTAAAGTCATTCCCCTATACAATTTTATTTCGATAACTAAGGCATATGCTCTTATAAATTCTTAGCAATTTCAACTGAAAAATTAACTAACGTTTGCGCTACTGCAGTTAGGTTTCTTATTTGCTACAGTTGCTGGAACATTGTGAGAGAATTCGTGCACGTTCAAACGATGGTACAAATTATGCTTTAAAGAGAATGCACTCCTAAATTTTATTCTACTTAGAGAAAATTTCAAAATGTCAATGATTTAGATGTTGTCATTCTGCGAAGCCTGTATAATAAAACAATAAAATAACACTTTTATTACAACGTGTTTAAGGCGAATGAATTCCATATTTTAGTTTTAGGAAATCGAAAAGAAACTTGCTGCTGCCAGCCAAACTAATACAAAATTATTTCGTATTTATAGGTCATTGCTGAATACGAAAGGGCTGTGCTTTTTAGACTTGGAAGGATTTTACCCGGTGGTGCCCGTGGACCAGGCCTATTCTTTACAATTCCTTGTCTTGACATGATTCGCAAGGTCGACCTACGAACTGTCACTTTTGATGTACCCCCCCAAGAGGTAACATTGAACATAGCCCACTCAGTGATAATGTGGTGAATCATTATAAACAAGGTTTATATAGTTAAAAACTATTCAATAACAAATGTTTTAAACATCTGAGTTTCTTTATAGACTTTACGGTTGGCATTCACATTTATTTAACGTAGGTCACTTTTTAAACCTTTCTACCTGATGGTTTAAAAATAAGACCCTTAATTACCTTCCGCTTTTCTTCGTATTTTTAATTGTTTCAGGTTTTAACCAAGGATTCAGTGACTGTTGCTGTGGACGCTGTTGTTTATTATCGTATATACAATCCCGTTGTTGCTATTACTAATGTCGAAGATGCCGATCGATCTACGCGTTTACTTGCTGCAACCACGCTGCGGAATGTACTGGGTACGAAGAATTTGTCGGAAATACTTTCGGAGAGAGAATCGATCTCTAGTATGATGCAGGTAAGGAAAATACATGCTGTGTTGAAGACAATGGCACTAGTTTCCTTGAGTATTTCATTAGTTTTCTGCGAAACCGCTAGAAAGTTAAAAATAATTTCCCATCAGTAAAACGGTAGCTGCCTCTCAAAAACTTTCAAACCCCAACAGGTATACTAGTACAGAATCGAAATTTGATAATAACAGCATAACATACGATGGATTCTTCAATGATATGTATGTTTGACTCTTGAGGAGATTATTACTGAAATACTTCAATTGTTTTTGTCCCCTTCCCTTTGCTGCCTTTAACACGTAATAATATAATACTGTTATATATGTTTAGGTCTAGTAAGTTTAATACTGTTTTTAATCGTTGATGGCATATTCAGTGTTAAATGTTCCAAATCCAAGTAGAAAAGTGAAATAAGTTGCCTGTTTGAAAGTAATGCAAGCGCACGATAAGCATATGCAAATGAAAGCAATACATCAGTTGACGCAGGAACTGAAAAGGAAATCGCAACTTTCAGCTACTGGACTTACTTTTGTCCCTATACACGCAAAATAATATAGTTTCTACAATATAAATCATCCAAGTATTGTCACGCATTCGACCAAAGAAAACATATATTCAGTAAAGGCCGAGACAGCAGAGTAAACATCATATTTTTTTCAAACTGTATTAGAATGGGTTAACTTTCGATACCATTTAGTCTTCCGACCGTTCCGCAACATATATTTCACAGTCGGTATGTATTCTTTCATGGTTCGTATTTGGTACCTGTTCAGTTGGAGCCTTTACGCCCTGCAATAGGAATCATTTTAGCATCCGATTAATGCATTTAATACGTACTTGCATTTATCTTGTCCATGTGATGAACATGTTAACCCTTTTTATCAACATTGTTTATCTGCATTTATTTCAATAGGCTATGTTGGACGAGGCCACCGATCCATGGGGCGTGAAAGTCGAAAGAGTGGAGGTGTAAGTACATTTTTATTCTCCTGGAAATTAAAAACAAAGGCACACAATCATTTTAACTATGCAGAATGCAAAATGCTGCACAATTAAATGTTGCAGCCTCAAAGAATAGCCCTTCTTTCAATCCTTTTATGTCATGCCACCTCTGTTTTAGATTAAGATGATTTAGGCGATGTTGCCTTTACAGGCAAATAGTGGGACGCCACAAGTTTGTGAAGTCGATTGCAACAGTAGAAAAAGAATTAGCGAGTATGTTGTTCGTTTACCAACGCAATCATAAAAAGATAATCGTGGACCATAAAGCATATACTATACTTTTCCTTATATGTCAGTTACTACTTGGACGTATCGTAGTAATAAAATGGTTTTAGAACCCAAGTCTTATATGCAAAACTCCTATATTACGCAAAGACCTATAATCCTCAAAACTTAGCGTTGGATTATTTTAAAATATCGCAAACATACATGGTTGCCTTAATTGAATGCGGCCAAATAAAACGAATATATCCGAAGACATTTTTCAGCCCATTTATGCTCTATTATATGAAGCATGTATTTCATACTAAGGTAACTAGACATTTATATTTTGCGGCTAAGTTAGATGAATGCAATTGTATTTTCTATCCTAATTAGGGTTACCATACAAATACATGTTTTCACTATGTTAAAATGTAAGTAAACCGTAATTTGCCCATTCAGACAATAATATGTTACACAAACAAAACTGCAACTAACGCAAGGGAAAGCATATCTACGCTTCCGTCCTTCACAGTCCATTAGGATAAAAAATTGTTTGTATGAAATTTTTGCTAAAAATAATATAGTTGATGAGATCTTGGACTAAGATATAAACAGTGGCTTTTAAGTGCGTTTTTTTCTGCTAGAGTACTGGGTGGACACTGCTTCCAGGAAGCATTAACATAGAATCTACTTACTGAAAACAATTCCGCAAACCTGGTCGGTATTAAGTGATCTATTATGGGATAAAGGCTCATGAAAGTACATCTTTCATATTTTAGAGGGCTGCTAAGATACGAAGTCCTAGAAAGAAATGAAGCAAACTTCGTAGTTCCTGTGCATCGCTCGGCTTAACCTAAGTGTACCAGAAAAAAAAAATAGAAAAAATTCAATATATAGATCTATTAAAGAGTATTTAACCTCTTTTCTCAGAAAGATGTTCACGTTTGGTTTATTGCATAGGTACTATGACTGTATGAGAAACGGAAAAATGGTTTTTATGGCCAGGAAATGTTACTTATTTAATTTACTCTTAAGTTTTTTCCGGAATCAGCAAGTTTAATTCATTGTATTACTTTAAGTATAGTTTTTTAGAGCAGCTATAAATTTGAAACAGTCATGTTTTCCGTTTAGGTTGACACTTACTATCAGTTGCTTGGAATAAATAATTACTTTCAGAGTACTAAATTACGATGTTGCAGAAACAGTAACAGCTCGGTTACTCTTTTTATTTAAATATTATATGCTTTTCAATATTTCGTCCCATCTAGATTAAACATTGCAGTAACCTACTGACTAAACTTAAAACGTTGCTTAACAAAAGTTTTCCAAATATACTAACGTTCCTCGAGGAGGACTGCACTTAGTTTTCTGGTAACCGCTTATGCTAACAGTAAACGGAAAGTTTACGGCTACAATGGGTGCAGTACTGGGTGTACGCAAAATGCGATAGAGTATTCTAGCAAAATCATGCCACCACACTAGAGCAGTTGGAGCTGCTTCCTCGGCGCGCAACCCGTTTTCCACAAATTTCAATGCACTCTAGTCTAGATGTTTGTAAAAATGGGCTTCGAGTGTAAACTCTTTCTTTGCTCCCCAAGCAACTAGTTGCTTTATCAGCCTAAGTTCACTATCAACGACATTTTCGCTTAATGGATGGTTACCGTGCAGTTTCTTTTCAAAGTGCTTCGCACACACACTTGGGCTTCACGCAATTGAATATTTATATAAAGGCCAATCTACGCTGGAGCCACTGCATTCCAACAGGGGCTCCACCTTAGGAAGCTGTGATCCCGTCAGTTGACAGTTCTCGCAGTTAGTACTCTTTCGGAGTCACTGTAACATCAAGGACGTCAGATGTGGTGCAGAAGGGAAGACGCTTTGTTCGTGTGAGTACCAGTCACACAGTATCGGTAACATTGCCTGCTCCTCTTCTCAATCAACACTGGGTTGTGGATGCCTATCTATCCTACAAATGATGAGATGGGACCTAGTGGCTGACATTCAGCCACTGACTCTCACGTAGCACACGCGTATGCAGACAAATGCATTAGTCAGTCTGACATTTATAAAGCCGAATAACATCAGCACGCTCGAGATTTAATTTATGCAGTTACTAGACGTTCGGATCGTGCTGTGCTTGAGCGATATAATTTGATCTGGCATATATGGGCATATGGCCAAATAGGTCCAGCAATGATCAAACTTACGGGTACAGTAAGCAAGGAAATCTTATAAGATAGCATTGGCTCTAGGCTCCCTATTTCATTGCAATAAATTTTCAAATGTGGATCAGGTTGATGCGTTATTTTAACACCAACTCAACACGGGTACAAGTAAATGCAGGGTTGTCGGCTGACGGGTTTTTCTTGGCAATGCTAATAAGTTGGTAGTTTCGCAGACAGTTACCTTCACAAGATTCCGATGAGCTTATAGCCCTTCAACATGGCTCATTTCGCACATGCAAATTTCTATTTGTCACCATTGAGCATTAAGGAAATTGATTTTTAGTGCTCCATTAAGAGGACATTTTGTTTTACCCTTCTCCTTCTATTATTTTGGCTTCGGGGATAACTGTGCAATTTTGAGGACAGCTAGCCAAGTATGCGTGTCGCGTTCAGTCATTTTATAGTTCTTTTGGTATTTTGGACCCATTTTAAGGAAAGTTAAATATTGTCCTTTTAAAATAGATTTAATTCACCTCGTTTGCATCCACATGTAGCAACATGCTCGTAAAAGAGTGCCCTCTGTGTATGATCCTTATTCATTCTTCTGATACGGCCGGTCCATGATTTTGGGCTTCATTTAATAAAAACATGATACAAAATTTGTTATCTCAGCCCGGACCTCGTGCCTTTGAAGTCGATTAATGTCAGTTTTGTCTTTAAATCCTACTAAGAACAATTAGGAAAACTAAGCATCTGGTATTTTAGATGTTAAATTTTACGGCAGTTTGAATGGTCATGAAGATGACTATCTACATCGTGAGCTTTGTGTTAAGGAAGACGAAATGGCATCATTTATCATGAAAGACCTCGATGGTTTCCGAGATTCATTAGCGAAAGGCAGGTGGTGTTTCGCAGTCCCCAAAGGGGTACCGTGCATTTAAGTGGATTGGTCTACCGCTGCAGGTCGATTGCCACTGACAGTTACCATGATTTCCGAGTATTTGATCGTCGATGTCACCTGGCAGGCGGTTAACTTTTCCTGTATACTAATATACAGTCTGCTTTTGACAGCTTCAGATTATGTTATGGATACGGCAGACCTTTAGTACAGAAGAACAGGATGCGATTACTGGCAAGAGAGTTTTATTTGCCTGACGTTTTGGATTCCGTCGAGAATCCTAAGTCGTAGGTGATGGTAACATAGTCATGGTCATGGATCTGCGCATGACCATGATTATGTTACCATTACCTATGATTAAGGATTCCCGACGGAATCCAAAACGTCAGCCACTTAAAACTCTTTTGCCAGTGATCGCATCCTCTTTTTTCGAGCTGCTTCCTAAAATTTGCATATTCTCTACTATTGGCAAGACCTTAAGTAATTTCACTAGGTTCTCCAATTATGTGAATGTCCTGCTTATCGTCTCAGGAGGCTAAGAAGATAGGCTTAACGAGTGTTAAGACGAGAGCCTAGCCCCAGTTCTTTCCTCTGTTTTGGTGTAGATGGTAAAGGTTGATTTATTGTTCGTCGTGTATCCCATACGGGCATCGTTACTCCACCTGCTCATCCCTAGGATCCACTTTAGATCTCCGAATTTGCTTATTTATTTATAACGGACATGTCAGTTCATAATATCGGCGAAACTCACGTGGTGTCTGCAAAACCATTCAATGATCAATTAAACCGTTTTTGGTTACGGGACTATCCGATCTATGTCTTCATTTTCGCGGTTCCCTTGTTATAATAATTTACTGTAGAGCCTAAAATTCCTGCTACAATTTTAGTTTCCGGAAACAGATTGGTGTTTTGGTAAATTTTAGAAGACAGAATATGTCTCAATATTCGTTTGAGATTGAACCATGCTTTCGTCCCTTGAATCTCGTAGGATTTTACTTGTTTTTACAGGTACCCGGAGTGTTGTTGATGATTTTTGTTTTTGTTGGCGTAAAAAAGTGAGACATTATCTTTTTTGCTCCCTAATTATCTTGTATGCACGTAACAAATGAGGACGCTAGAAGCAGCCTAGTTTTGTTTAGCGCTGCGGATTGCTAATATCAAGTGAAGGTGGTTCATACTATTTGACCGTCAGTTTTAATAAATTATCGATATAATCGAACCACGTCTCGAGTTCTATGGGTGCAGGTCTGGTTACTTTATCGAGAATGCAAGGTTTTCTGCATTTTCTGTCACTCATAAAAATTTTTGGAATCTGCATCGGCCAAGTTTAATTTTCCTTGGGTTTAAGTTTTTCATTCTAATTTCAGTCAGTTCCATTGCATCCATGCTCAAATTTGTAAGCGTTTTTTCCCCCTTAGATGGTCCTCACGCTTAAAACTGTGACCACATTCTGCAGACCGACTGGTGATAGTTAGCCTAGCCTTCGATATCAACTTTCCCGTTTAGTTTCGACTGCAATCATGCCCGACAAGGAAGCTTACTTGCCGAACTGGTTTATTTTTTGTTTGTCTGTTCCGTAGGTTTCCGGAATACGGTGAAGTTTCCGATGTATCACTGTTGAATCATAACTAAACAATTGTGACTACCTCCAAAATTTTGGTTTCATAGCTTACTCGACATTCCTCAGATCGGCAAAAGAAAACG